AGTGAGGTTGGCCATTCGGCGGTGGCGTTTCTTCGAGCAGAGACGCGTGCAGAGGACGGCAGCAGTACGAGTACCGTCCGCTTCCTGATGGGTAAGGCCTTGGTAAATCCAGTTCGTTTTGTGACCATCCCTCGATTGGAGTTGGCAGCTGCAGTGGTCGCAGTAAGGTTGAAGCAGTTGCTGGAGAGGGAGACTGGTTTGGAGTTCGACAGAACTTTCCTGTGGACGGACAGCATGGTCGTACTCCAGTACATTCGCAACAGATCGTCGCGGTACAAAACGTTCGTGGCGAACAGAGTAGAGATCATTCACGGTAAGTCTGACGTGCAGGACTGGAGATACGTACCGTCAGCTGCCAACCCGGCGGATGTTGGATCGCGTGGATCTGCGCCGGAGGACTTGGGGACGTGGTTGAAGGGGCCAGACTTTCTTTCAGCGGATGAGGAGAGCTGGCCGTGTGAGCCGGTTCGGTTAGATGATTCTGAAGACCCGGAGGTTAAGCATCCCTCACCTGTCGTGACTGTTGCAGCGGTCGCTGAGGTTCCTGAGTCGTCTGCAGTGTCGGGTCGCGAGCAGCCGTCCGCGACTGAGAGGCTGCTCAGTTACTTCTCGTCCTGGTGCCGACTGAAGAAGGCCGTGGCCTGGTATAGGCGCTTTTCTGATTTCCTCAGGAGCAGGCTGCGCGATCGAGCAGGCAGGCGTCTGCGCGATCGAGGAGTGGGAGTAAGGACGTCTCTGAGTGTAGATGATTTGAGGTCGGCTGAGAACTCCATCCTTAAATACGTTCAGAAGACAAGCTTCTCTGAGTTTTCTGATGACCGTGAAGGGACGGTGAAAGTGACCAAGTCGAGCTCCCTCAAGGGGTTGAGCTTGACTCGGAGGGATGGCATCTTAGTGGTAGGGGGTAGGCTAAGTCGCTGTCCTGTACAGAGCGATAGCAAGTATCCTGTGCTCATGCCCAGACATCACCATGTGACCCGCCTAGTGATTCGTGACGCTCACGAAAGGGTAGGTCATCAGGGTCGTGAACATACCCTGAGCAAGATTAGGGAGAGGTTTTGGATCTTGGGTGTTGGATCGCTGGTTAGGAGTCTAGTTCGATCCTGTGTGACCTGTAGAAAGGTGAGTGCGGTCCCACAGAGGCAGATGATGTCTGACCTGCCGGACGACAGGGTGACGCCAGATACTCCTGCGTTTGCGTTCGTTGGCTTAGACGTTTTTGGGCCAGTGCTAGTTAAGAGAGGCCGTTCTGAAGTGAAACGCTATGGTCTGATGTGTACATGTCTAGTAACTCGTGCAGTGCACGTGGAGGTGCTGCAGTCACTGAAATCGGACTCTCTGATAAACGCTATACGTCGGATTATTGCGCGTCGGGGTCCGATCAGTAGGATTAGGAGCGATTTGGGTACAAACATGGTGGGTGCTGACAACGAGCTCAAGGCTGAGCTCGCTAGACTGGACGCTAGTAGGCTCGAGCAGTTCGCCTTGGGGAAGGGGATTGAGTGGGTGTTTAACCCTCCGTCTGCCTCACACTTTGGTGGATGTTGGGAGCGCTGCATCAGGACATTCAGAAAGGTTTGGAGGTCGATGCCCACCCAGAGACTCGATGACGAAGGTCTACACACTTTGTTCTGTGAGGTCGAGTCGGTGTTAAATAGTAGACCCTTGACATTTGTCTCTGCTGACAATGGTGAGGTAGAGCCCCTTACGCCCAACCACTTGCTGCTGCTGCGTCGCAGTGGTGAGGGGATCCCAGGGGAGTTTTCCCACGACCAGCTCTCGACCAAGCAGTGGAGGAGAGTACAGTACTTGTCCGAGCAGTTTTGGCTCCGATGGCGGAGCGAGTATTTGCCTACACTGCTGCGTCGCCAAAAGTGGACGACAAGGTCTCGTAACGTAAAACAGGGAGATATAGTTTTGTTGGTAGCAGACGACGCGCCAAGAGGTCAGTGGCGCCTTGGCAGGGTGACTCAGACCTTTCCGAGCCAGGATGGGTTAGTAAGAAAGGTTTCAGTTAGGACGGGTGGCACGATACTCGTGAGACCCGTGCACAAGCTGATACTTGTGCTGCCTGATTCTGACCTTGACCTGGGCTAGATGGACGATTAGTGTTTGGAGCGCATGTTTAGGACATGTGATGTATATAGGTGTGTATGTGTGTGTGCCCTGTTTGTTCGGTGTCCTCAACCCTGCGGGTTGAGCGGGGGGAGTGTAGGCGCTGTTTTTGATGAGCTCCTGCTAGTAACTTTAGGTTACCGGAACGCTTACGAGATGGCGGTGTTGTTTCGGTATTTGAATAGCGCTATCGATTTATCGATGTTTATTTTCTGCTTGGGTGCTTTGTGTCATTTGGTTTAATTTTTGTATCGGTTTATAAATTAATTTTGTATTGTGTTTCGCTGTTATTTGTTGTTAGCATTTTAGTTTAAGTGCTAACCTTCACGGTCACGTGACCGGCGCCCCGCCTACCCGCCACGTCGGCTTCCGGGTCGGCGGAGGGGCGGTCGTAGAAGGAGGGATTCGAGGCATTCTTGGTCTATCGGTGACGGCGGCGGGAGCCATGCCGATTTGGGTTTTTGGTCACCATGGTTGCTCTAGCCGTACGACTTTGAGGGCTTTGAGGGCGCACCGTGTAGAAACCGCTTGCTTCACTATGCTTTGCAATATAAATTCATCTGTGGAGCTATAGCGCGTTTACCTGCCGGTTAGCGCAAGATCCAGAGGCCCTAGACAGCGGTCGGCGGTTATAGGGTCAGACCAACAGTCGGAACGCATTGATTCTGTTTTCACACCGTTGGACCCATCCCATCCAACTGGCCCCCTGGTTTCATTAGGGCCCCAAGGCTCTAAAATTGGGACTCTCTTGGCCAAAGTATAACTACTCAGCTGTGTCAAAGGATCTGCCGCAGGCGCCTTTGCGTCGCCAAGGGCCCACTGTGTCAGCCAGCGGCCCCTATAGAATAAGAACCCCTGGCTTCCAGGGGGGCATGGTCCCTTTGGCCCCCTCCTTGGCTATGCCACTGCAGGTGACAAGCGTTCTTCCAGGCGACCAAGGGGCAGGGGCCAGGCGACCAGGCCCCCAGGCGACCAGGGGCCCCCAGGCGACTAGCCCCCAAGCGACCGGGGCCCCCTAGGCGACCAGGGGCCCCAGGAAACCGGGGGTCATCGGATGAGTCATCGGATTGGGTCATCAGAGGGCCACAGAAATGCAACTTCGATATCAATTTTCTTCCGAGTAAAAGACGTTTTATCCAGTGTTTGAAAAAAATATCCCGGGGCCCGAGGGGCTCCCCCATGGCGCGTTTTGCGCTCAAGGGAGGGGGCCATTGGCCCCGTGGCCCCTCCCCCTTGGCTACGCCCCTGCCGATATTGTTATTCATGGACAAAGCCAGCTAAATCTCTAAATACGACTGAGCTGAACAAATAAGCAAGAATCATTACCGGTTCGGGTAGCCTTTACTACAATGTATTATGTTCGTTAGCCCTCGCCCGGTGAGGGGGGTTGATGCACCCCCTAAGGTTTTTCACAAATAACGTAAAAACGGCGGCGCTCAAATTTGGCATACCTACCCTCTGGCCTCTGGGGCAACCTTTTGGCACTTGTCCTGAAAATTTCAGGTCTCTAGTTTTTTTCAGGTCAGGTCACCAGGTCACAAACCCGGTACAAGGTCAGGGGAAAATTGGACTAGTTTAGCGGCAACCGAATGCCAGAGTTTTTCGTTGATAGCGTGAGTTCTATAGCACGTAGCGCTACCAAATTTAAGACACGACTTGGAGCATCGGTTTGTCACTTAGCCTTGGAGTTTTAGGTTCCAGTGACCCGAGGTCAGGTCACAAGGTCACAAGAACTGGTACATTGTCAAAATAGCAAGAATACCGAATAAGAATAACTACCACGCAGTTTGCGGAGGGCTGTACATGTCACTCTGGAACGAATCGCTCGAGCATCGCTAACCACAAAACATACGACAAACGTTAACTTTGCAAACTATCATCTTATTTCCAATAACGGCACTGCTTATTTCGCCTCACTCCCGCTCCCCCCCCCCCGCTAACAGGTTTTGAAATTGGTTGAACCCCACAACAGTGGCTGGATCCGCCATTGGGCAGGGGAGTAGCGAATATTTTGCCCACCCAGTGAAAAATCCTTAGAGGAGGCCCTGCACTAAAATCTCGCATAGAAAACACCCTTTCTGTAGCACTTGCATGGTTCACTCAGAACAGTCTTGAAATAAACCCAGCAAAAGCCGAAATGGTCACACTCAAGTCACGGCGTCAAAATTTGGATGAAAACATCTCAGATGAAAACCATTTGGTCATGACAGGTCACCATTTGGTCATGACAGGTCACTGAGATCCCTTAGGTTACGATAGGTCGGGTCAAGTCACGATGGGTCATGCAAGGTCACAGAGGTCGCCTCAGGTCACGATTGGTCATGTCAGGTCACAGAGGTCATCTCAGTTCACGATATCAATTGTTCGTTCGTTCTTCTCACTTCCATGCGAAAATCCCCACTGACCCATCTAAAATATCATTTTCCCCATTGCCATAACATTACAAGCCGACACTGCAGTGTCATCTTATAACATTACAAGCCAAATACGCCAGCCAAAAGCAGCGTATCAAAAAAGGATAAATTTCGGTGTTCACATCGTCGCTGGTCTGAGCCGCCGTGATCATGTCACGCCTGCGTTGCGGGAACTCGGGTGGTGCAAGGTGGATGAGATGATTACAGAGCGTGACATCGCCAGTCGCCACACCGCGTCATTTGATCGTAGCCCCCTGTGCGTCCGAGGTGTTACGCGAGCGAGTCGTCCTGCGCTCCGATGTGTCCTCCCGCCACACCCGCGCAACGGCTGACGGCCAGCTGCAGCTGCCCAGAGTGCGCACTGAGTTTGCCTGACGTAGTGATCTTGTCGCAAAACTCAAAGCACTCGAAGTCTTCAGAAAACGAGAAAGCAAACGTAGTAGGCAATAGATACAAGGTATATTTCCATGGGTCAAAATCGTTTATTGAGCAAACCGGTTTCATTGCCAGCCCGCGCCTGGCGGCGTTTCAATTCATATACCGTGCGCTTATTCAGTATACCTGTCGTGCGGTGCGTTTTAGGCATTCCCATATAATGAAATAAGTAGATAAAGGTTTTGAGAAAACAGCGGCCACTCCTGCTATTCTTGCTGCGTGAAATCACTCATTCAACGTCAAAGGCGGCCAAGAACTGTTGTTGTTCCAGTACTTAAGTTCCGTATCCGTAGCATTTGGGTTCTGTATCTGTAGCACTTGATTCCTTATCCGTAGCGACGGCTGCCCTGTGCAAAGGAGCGGACCGGCACGCGGCCAGAGCTCACGCGGCCAGAGCTCACGCGTCCGAGCCCACCGTGCACAGAGCCCACACGTCCGAGCCCGCTGCTCACGCGTCCGAGCCCGCCGTGTACGGAGCCCACACGTCCGACTCCGCTGCTCACCCGTCCGACTCCACTGCTCACCCGTCCGACTCCGCTGCTCACCCGTCCGACCCCGCTGCCGTACGACAGGGAGCGGCCGAAGCGGCCCTTCCCGAAGGCCTTTCCGCCGCCGAAGCCCTTTCTGCCGCCGAAACCGCCGTGGCTGATGCCTCCTCGGCGGCCGAACGCGCCGCCGATCGGCCGGCCGAAGGCGCCGCCGATCGGCCGGCCGAACGCGCCGCCATGGCCGCCGCCGAACTTGGAACCGAGCGCCGAAACGCTCAGCACCACCAGAATCAGCGTCACCAGCTGAAAAGGGCAGGGTTTTGTGAGCACTCATCCCACTGATTGTAAACAGTTGCCATAAACGCTGCGGGCAGGTGCACCGTGCAACTAAAGTGGGAGATAAAAAGATCGAATAAAGGTGTTGTCAGTGCTGCGGCTAACATGATGCACGCGCTGCACGTAAGTTGCTGCGAGACCAAGGCCCTAAAACATAAGGTTGGACGAAGTTTTCTACCAAAAATGTACTAGAATAGCGTACGAGTCAAAGCTATTTCCGTTGTTTCTTTACAAAAATGTCGCAAACAAGCTTTTTCTGTAATAAATCATTATTTTGAAGTTAAGCAACCAGTTGCTATAAATTCAATAAGCAAACGCTTATTTTCTATATAAAAGCCTAGCTTATATAGTCCAACTCTAGTTGAATAAGCAAGTAGCTACTAAATTTTCCAGATGCGACACATATTGCGCACTTCAGACAAGTACGTTGCTAAGGCGTTGCTAAGGACTCTTTCGCATGTTTTGCTGCGTGTTTTTTGTTACGAAGTGAGGGAAGTGAGATTGACAAGCTTATTGATATTTTTTCTGGTTTTCTAGGGCCGTCGCAATTGTTTAACTTGACATACTTTTCTTGCTTTTTTATCCGAGGCTTTTTCAATAATTGGTAGATTCTATCGTGGAAATAAAAGGGCCAGCAGGCCACATGGGTAAATGCAAGTCGACTGATTGTGAAATAAAAGGTAGAAGTGTCTGTTCCATTAGAAATTTGATGTGATGGAAGATGAAGCAACAGGATCAGACGCAAGAACCACCAATTAAGAACCCAGAACCAGCAAGCGCTATGCCATCAAGAGCATCCATGGTAACGTTTGATTAGCTTTCAGAAAACCTTTGAACTAGACGCCAGACGGTGAGCAATCAAGAGATCTTACAAGACCATTTGTTACTTGAAAACGAGAGCCGCCAGGAAAATCAGTAGATTCTTCAATGGCAACACATTTCAGTATCTATCTAGCAATGATTTGCACCAGCGAGGTGCTATCATTGTGTTTTGTGTCTGTATCCCTAACTGCTCAAAAAATATTTGTCAATAAATAAACAAGCAAATAATGCGTCTTTTTCTACTGAAAGTAAGTCCTCCAAGTGGCAAGGGATGAATAATAGAAGGTACCTAATTTATTGCCATCTATTCATTCAATTCATAAATCATGGCAATTCAGGGCATCGATCGGCAGCGCCCTTACTGCATAGCACTGCGGATCGTCCATGGGTTTCTTGATGACTCCGACTCTGACTCAGACTTTCAAAAATCAACTATGACTTTGATTTCAAATATCGGCTCTGACCGACTCCGACTCCACAGCCCTAGCAGGTCTGCGGAGGCAATAGATTTTTGGTGACTCCGACTCCGACTCTGGCTTTCAAAATCGACTCTGACTCTGACTCTGGTCAGAACTGTCGATTCGGACCGACTACAACTCCGACTACGGAACCCTGATAGGTAGGGGATCGAATTTCGGTGACTGACTCAGACTCCTGCTTTTAAAATCGACTCTGACTCCGACTCGACGACTCAGGTCAGAACTGTCAACTCCGACCGACTTCATGACTCCGACTCCGGAGCCCTACTGGCAGCTATCACGCCAGGGAGCTGCAAATCATATGTTCCCTGGCGGTTTATGGCATTAAAGTCGATAATCCGGCTGAATCGCACTATGAAACACCCTTATTGGCTGCAAGAACCACGAAAGTTAGCGCATCACCACTGGAAAACGTGACAAGATATCGATTAATTGGCCCTGGATTTGGATAAATAACATGTAGATGATCATATTAGGACACATTTACATTATCAGCTATCTCAAGGTTGCCCTCCAGGCGGCTCTAAACTATGGCAATTTCCCTATCTTCAACATGTAAATGCCCTCGGGCGTCCTCGTGGTGACGTAGGCATGGGAGTGCCAGTTTGGTAGGAACTAGACTTCGACGCCCCCTGTGCGAGACAGTACAAGACTGATCGAGAGCGGACAAGCCCGGCTACCCGCGGCTCCAGCGTCAGACGGCAGTGCCGGACTGATTCACTGGACCGCAGAGCAGGCTCAGCGGGGCGCGGGACCGTGCAGAGACACCACAGAGCAGGCTCAGTGCAGCGGGGCGCGGGCCCGTACAGAGCAGGCTCAGCGGGGCGCGGGCCCGTACAGAGCAGGCTCAGCGGGGCGCGGGCCCGTGCAGAGACACCACAGAGCAGGCTCAGCGGGGCGCGGACCCGTACACACACTGGCGCGGGCCCGTACACACACTGGCGCGGGCCCGTACACACACTGAGACCACCAGCCACCGGGTGCCGCTGGGAACCCATGTTAACCCGCGCCGGGCCGGTGCTCTGAAATTCCGCGCCGGGCCGCGGGGGGGTGTTTGAACACCCCCCCTTCTAACTCGGCTCCTGGGCCACGTAGCGACACGCGGTAAGCGGCAATCGAAAGAACGTCCAAAATAAGGACGAAAACACTTCGGTCATTTTTTGGGTCAGGTCAAAGGTCAGGTCACCAGAGGTCACCAAAGGTCAAATGTTCACTATTTCAACATTTTGGAAACTGCCAACGGCTATCTCGGGAACCGATAGAGCTACAGCGCCGCAAAAAAGCGCATTCGATAGCCCTTTTACAGGCCTTTCTGAGTAATGTTCTCAGATTTGACCTCAGGTCAACGGTTTAGCCTCCAGAAGGCAAAAACTCCAAAAATAGCCGTTTTTACGAAAAACGTTTTTTCGGCAATAACTTTTGACTCAAAAGAGCTATGACATTACTTTTGCCAGCATCGTGTTCCTCTCGTCGAGACGCGTCGAATGAACTATAATTTGACCTTGAAAGGTCAACTTGAAAATTTGACCTCAGGTCAAGGTCATGACCTGACCGGAAAAGGTCATGTTGCATATCAGTCGATCCGCAACGTCGAGCCGAACACATCTAAGGCGTTTTCAGCGCTCTAGCACGCCTCTATCAGAAGTTATCATCGAAAAACTGTTAGATTCTGTTCGTGACCTGAGATGACCTCGGGGACATAACGAGGGGTCACAGTTGCCATTTTCTGGTTCAGTGTGTCTATTTTACCTGCATCTCGATGTTTGAGAGTGTCTAGAATAGCGTTCGTGCAAAACAGGCGCTTTTCAATTTTCTCCCATTGACTTATAATGGAGAGGCCGCAAAATTGACCTGACCTTAGGTCAACGATATCAAAATTCCGAGATATACATTTTATAGATAGTGTTGCTGTAATCAATCGCTGAAAGTTTCAAGGCAATCGTTCAGTCGGTGTAGCTATGACGAACATTCTTATTTTTTCTGAGGTGAGGTCACTTGGCGTGACCTGGTGACCTGACCTAAGGTGACCTGGGTCTGAAATTTTACAACATGTGCGGAAAAGATGCACGAACAGGTGTGCCAAAAACGGCGGCGCTACGCGCCGCCGTTTTTGAGATATCTGCGAAAAACCGCAAGGGGGGGTGTTCAAACACCCCCCCCCCGGCCCGGCGCGGGTTAATAAACTGGCTGGCTGAGGCTGCTCTTCAGCTCAATGTTAGATACTTCTTTTGTGGCAATTTAACTTCTGGTGCAGTGTGACGACATTTTCTACCAGTAACTATCAAGTATTAATAAAAAATGTTTTTAAGTTCATCGCACCAAAACATATGCATTTATAACACAAGGCAATAAGAGTACCATGACTATCACGCGAACAAGAATAATGTATATTTGCCTCATTTCACTTTAAAAATGTACTCGGGCGACCAAATATTGGCATAAATTTTAACACCACGTGTCCTTTTATCATTTAAGAGTGACGCAAGAGCTGTGCAAAGTCTATACTTGAAAGCGATCAAACACAAAACGACGTCCTGAAATTGTTGCAAAAGACGGCAATGTGACACCCGTTACGCCAAGGTCAGGGCGTGCCTGGCGCAGAACACAGTTGGTGGTCTTACCGCTAGTTTGGCGTTCATCTCTGCGGCAGGTGGCCCCGACTGCTGTACCAGGAGAGCGGGGTGTGTGTGTGTGTGTCGCCCGCCCGCCTCGTCTTATATACCGCCACGACGGCGTGCGCCTCGGCCTAGCTCGGCATCCCGAGCGATGAAAAAACGGCTCAGCTGGTGGGAATTGTTCGTCACATTAAGTTTATATTAATCATGGCAAGCAGATTATGATGTCCTTCCGACAAGCAGGTCCGCGTTCAGCGCGACTTACCGCAGATGTAAGTCGGGCGATAAAGCCTCTTGGACAATGCATAGACGGCGACTGCGCTGGCGGTTATGTAAGAGGCGGTCCGGCGGCGCCGCGCAGGTGCTCCGCGGCGGCCCGGCAAGGGCAGCCGGGTCACTGAGCCGACGGCGCACGGCGACACGGCCTCCTGTGCCCCGGCACACGGCGGCACGGCCTCCTGTGCCCGGGCACGCGGCGGCACGGGCTCCTGTGCCCGGCCCTGGCACCGTACCCCGCTGTCAGACTGCGGCGCCGTGGGCCGCAGCCGCTTAGCCTGCACTTTGCAGATAATCCTGCGAAAAAAGTCACGGTGAGGTGACTTTTCCCAGGCTATATAAACCAGGTAGAACGCTCCCGACGAAAAAGTGGTGACAAGCGATAATTAGTTGCCGCGACCCTCACTTGTTCAAGACTATATCCGCAAGCAGCATTTACAAGCTAGCGAAAATCGACCAATCGGCGTTCGGCAATACTCAACGCTGATTGGCCCGATGCTCTGATGAAATTGCGGGGGACTGCAGCTATTCCCCAATGGCGTTTCATAGACTTATGACTTTTGAAGGTGATTTATATCAGTTTTTGTTGGGTTTAAGGCCATTTTTTAGCTTGGATATTCTTTCTGTGACTTTTGACTGTGTAATACCGACATTTAATCATAACATTTCTATATACTACCGGTGTCACATCGGCCAAAAAGACCACTGTACATGGGATAGACGGACCACTGCTGATGGGGCCACACATGCCGGCGTGTGGTCATCGGAGGCCCATGAGGGCTCGACATAGGCCCTTTATGGGTCGGTATAGGCCCGGCGGGTCCAGTGCAGGCGTATCAGGGGCCGGTGCTGACCCAACAGGGCCCAGTGGCATATAATGTAAGGCTGTCTAGGGACGTTGGGGGCTCAGGGGGCCATATACGACCATAAGGGACCACATAAGCTAATCAGGGGTCCATTTAGGCCAATAAAGGCACTTCAGGGGACTTGAAGAGGCCATTCAAGAGCCGTGATGGGCCCATGAGAGGACGGCATTGGTCCATCAGGTGCAGTCAGGGTATGTTGTGCGGGTTTCTCAGTGGCCCATTCGGGCATATCAGCGACCAATTTAGCTACTCAGACTCCCCTGATGGACGTTCCCGGCCTCTGATGACCCTATAATGAATCCTTGTGGGGCTCCAATAACCCTCTCCAATAACCCTTCGTCAACCCATTATTACCATACGCTGGCACTAGGGGCCCCACACCAGTCGCAGGGCAGTCCGTGCCATGACAGCATGTCTTTTCGGCCGATATTACATCGGTCATATTTATTAAAAATCATGATTTTATGGTGCCATTATATAGTTAACAGTCATAAGAAATATATTTCAACTCGAAAACAGCTCGAAACAGCATATAATCTTAAAGAAACCCCTCCGAAATCCAAAAGCCTATTCGGATCCACAGAGAATAACTGCGGTCCCCCGCACGAGTACCGGACCAATCAGCGTCGAGCACTACCGAGCGCTGATTGGTGGATTTTCCGCTAGCGTGTAACTACTGCTCGCGGAGCAACAGTTCGTCGACAATCCTCCACAAACGTCTGTCACCACTTTTCGTAATGCTAAACAGCCGGAGCGTACCCCCTGGCTGGGGCCACGCCGCCTTCGTCCCATGGAGCCCTGCTTGGGCACCGATTTCGGCGCTCGGCAAAGCAACCGGGGGTCCATTTCAGTGGCTAGTAGTGTCATCAGTAAATGATGCTTTATACAATTAAAGTAATCAAGTAACAATATCTAGGAATTAATTTTTACACCTAGGATGAACAATACAGGGTGTCTCACAAAAAGTGTAAACACATGTTACAGGGAGTTTGAGAAATCCGTGAGTTTGCAAACTCCCTAGGGAGTTTGCAAACTCACTGACCCATCAGTGAGTTTGCAAACTCACTAGGAAGCTTACAAATTCACTAGAGAGTTTGCAAACTCACTGACCGGTCAGGGAGTTTGAGAAATTAATGAGCGATTGGGCAAAAAAAAATCAAGTGTGTAAGATGAGGGTGGCATACGTGCCGTCCGTGATGTTAAAACAGAGGCGGCTAGTGGTATGGCCTAGTATATAACCGTCGCACGCTGACAAAAAGCTTACAGATCCTTAATTGTTTTGCCGGAAAAAAATGCTACTCGCGGCTATGTAAAGGGGATGTTCGGAGCAACGTGATCCTCCGTTCCGTCGTTTCCATCTTAACCTTCCAGGCGGTGGGGGGGGGGCATTTTTTTGCCCCCCCCTTAGTTTTTTTTCAATATATCTCGAGAACTGCTGCGCCGATCGTCACCAAACTTTCAGTACCCTCCCGGGAGCAGCTAGCGCACATGGTGACCAAATTTTTTTCCAAAGGCTATGATAGGTTGGCCGCTAATGACGTCAGAGTAACGTCATTTTTGACCCAAAAAAAGGTTTCGCGGGAAGAGCTGTCAGGCCTACAGCTTTAGAGATACAGAAAAATGTTTCAGACATAAAAGGTGTGGAATCAAAAGGGCTACAAAACTGCTATTTCGGTTTTTCGAATTTTTTGGATTATGACCCCCAAAAATCAAAAAATAGATTTTTTGAATATAATACCAAAAAAATCCAAAAAGTTTTTTCAATTTCGAAAAACCGGAATATATGTGATAGACCCTACCGCCTTCTATCTACATACCAAATTTGAGATCGATACCTCTTTTTTTGGCCAAGTTATATCGAAAAAACTGTTCAAAATTGAGAACGTCAAATTTTCAAACTCAATTTTTAGCAATTCTAGACCTCGTAGCGCAAAAAAAGACCACCATTAGACTCCCCGTGACGAGCTGCATCGAATCAATACTCATTTTATGTAAAAATATCAACTTTGAATTTTGACCCTTTTTGACCTGACCTTGACCTGACCTCCACCAGAAAGTGACCTAAACCGTACCTGATGGTCTTATAACCAACACCATTGAGTTGGAAATGAAAAACTGGCCATAAAACATGCATCGCATAACCTTAGTAAAGTTGGGCTCATGTGGTGACCCCTGGTGACCTTTGGTGACCTGACCTGTGACCTGACCTGGTATGACCAGTGACCTCTAATAGCAACATATGTACTAGAAAACTGACGCCTTATCGCTGATTTTCGACAAAATGCGTTTTACTCGATGTTATAGCGCTTTCCCTAGAAGCCCCGTGAACGGTGAAACATTTTATCTTTGACCTGACCTGCGACGTCATCGGTGACCCCGAAGTCAATGAAATTTGGTTTCCCTCGACAAATTTGACAGGGCTATCGAACGCCGTTTGAATTTTCCGGATCCGTCCAGTAGTTTCGGAGATATGGGAGGGGGGCAAAAAAAATGCCCCCCCCCCCACCGCGCGGAAGGTGGCTGGTAGGCCCACCGCCTGCCGGGTTAAGGAATCAGGATACTGAAATCCTTCTCCTCCACGCCGAAACCCCCACTCCGGGCTGGACAGGCACCTTTATCTCATGCGAGCTGCTCCCTTGGAGCGGCACCGCCGCGCTGCTCCCGAGGGAGCGCACCCCGAAGCCGGGTGCAGAGAGTGCTTTGGGGGGGGGGGCTGGTCGGCCTTTCCATTCGGACGGGCTAGGCCCCGGCGACTCTCTAGGGTGTCTGCCCAGATCAATGGCTCCCCCTAATTCCTATCATTCTTCCGGCTCTGAAATGGTCTTGTCAGACCGAAAGGGCCTAACCTGCAGCAAAACAAAAACAAACAAGCAGCGCGCGCCAGTCGGAGCTGGGCTGGCTGCCAGCAGCGCCGGCTCTCGATGACACGTCTATGGCGGATGGGAATGGGCGTGAAATGGTGCGTGTGCCTGTACTTTATCATAAGTGACCAACTGAGCTGTTTCTACTTTGATATATTGAGCCTGACTCTGGAATACCGAATAGTCACACTTGAGTGGAACGGATCTAATTGATTGGGACGTGAACTAAATAAATGTATGACTAGATAAAGCGGCGGTACATGCTTGGATAGATCACTGAGCAGTTGAAAATAAAACAAGGTATTTATGGTGTGCATATGATCTATAAGCTTTTTGTCAGCGTGCGAGGCCCTACAACTAGCCTCCTTTGTTTTAACATCACGGACGGCACGTATGCCACTCACATGCTGCCCACTTGTTTTTATTTGGCCCAATCGCTCTGGAATCTCTCAAACTCCCTGACCGGTCAGTGAGTTTGCAAACTCCCTAGTGAGTTTGCAAACTCCCTGACCCATCAGTGAGTTTGCAAACTCCCTAGGGAGTTTGCAAACTCACGGATTTCTCAAACTCCCTGTAACATACATATTTGTTTTGTAAAGGTCCACAACTAAAAATTGACACAAAATACAGGAGCTTGTATTTTGCATACTGAGCGACTCAGAGATATGAAAATCACACCAACACACTCGGTGCACTGTCCTCTACTAGACCTAGAGCAGGAGCGCCTGGTGGCCTTCGTCAGACACACGGCGGACGTTTGTCTTCACCTGTGCCATCAGCCTCTGACACACTTCCGCGGGAACTTCCTTCAGCTTTTTGACGATTAGTGACTGGAGTTCCTGTTCATTTTCTGCCTGCCAGCCGTCCTTGTATATTGATGCCTTCAGCAAAGCCTAAAACTTTTCTCTTGGTCGGAGTTGAGGCACAGCAGGTGCCGGTGGGTTGTCGTCTCGTTTAACGACCTTTATATGAAGCCTCTTCAGCTCTTCCAGGACGGACTTTTCGTAATGGGCTGAGGCCAAATCTGGCCAAAAGATCACGTTTTCTTTAGCATGGTGTTTCTCAAC